CTGATATCCATTTGTGAGTCTTATTTAATGTTGTTTTGTCCAGAATGTCAAATGCGTTTCAGGCTGTTTGTTCCTCCCTGCCCACATTATATTAAGGATGGGGATACACACAGTTTGTGCGTTGTCTGCCTGGGAGTGGAGCATGCTGAGTCGGCTCTCGATGCATGTTTTCCGCTCCCAGAAGGCTCTCTTTGCGAAGGGAGCTTCCCCCCGGGGAATGGGCTCGACGCTCCGCCTGTCTTCCTCTGAGGAGGTTGGTGTGGTGGGCGTCGATGAGGATTCACCCCCTCAATCTCCACAGTATGAGGAGCTTTTAGAGGTGGTAACTTGTGCCGTGGCCAAGTTAAACATCGATTGGCCCACCGAGAAAATGGCTGAGCAACAGAAGAGTAAATTGGATGAACATTTTCTGCGTGTTAAGCCGCCACCTGCCTTTTTTCCCCGACCTCCATACCGAGGTGTCGAGGTCGTGGGGTAGACCCTTCTCGGCCCGCCTCTTTATCCCTGCTTCCGATTATTATGGCAATGTGGCGGGGATGAGTGAACGCGGTTATAAGACGATGCCCCGGGTAGAACAGACGCTCGCGAGCTATCTGTTGCCTGACGCGGCATCGTCTTTAAAGGCTCCGGCATTGCCCTCCAAGCCACTAGGAACTACATCAGCGCTGGTGGGCAAAGGGTACTTGGCAGCAGGTCAGGCTGGTGCGTGTCTGCACACCATGGCGGTGTTACAGGCATACCAAGCCGACCTGCTTAAAGAGCTAGATGAGCGTGAGCAGATAAAAGCAGAAGATATTACTGAGCTCAGGAGGACCCCTGGTTTGTCTTTCCGCGCCACTAAAGAGACCGCCCGTGCCATCGGCAGGTCTATGGCAGCTGTGGTGGCGGCGGAGAGGCATTTATGGCTGACCTTATCAGACATGAAAGAGAGAAATAGGGTCTGCCTCATGGACGCCCCGCTTGCGTATTCTGGCCTGCTCGGCGACGCCATCAATTCCGTCGTCGATAGGTACCAGGAGGCTCGTAAACAGGCGGCGGCGTTCCAGCGGTTCCTCCCTCTCCACTCTCTAGCTCTGGGGGCTGCTGGGCGGGAGCAGCCCCCTCCGATTTCTAGCTCCTCATACAGAGACGCACAAAAACAGAGCGCTGCCTCACGTGCTCCTCCGCGTCGGGACCGCGAGTTAAAGCGACACTCTGGGTTGGGGGCTCTCGAAGTCTAAGCCGGATCTGCAGATCGTACTTAAGACTAAGAGGTCCTCGGGCAAGAAGTCCTGATGCCACTGGCCCAGGACTCATGAGGGCAGGCTCCTCTGGGGTGGAGCGGGTTTCACCGCATTACACGGTGTCCGTCTCGCCTTAGTGCCCTCAGGAGATCGGTCTGCTAACCCTGCCGGAGTTACAGGGCGCAGCGGTCTCCCGCGAGCGCCACTCTCAGTCACCACCCGGGAACGTAGCGGTGCTAAGAGACTCGCCACCTCTGCGGAGGTCTCTAGAGCAGCTGGTTCGGTTGTCTCCTGCCGGTCCGCCGTTACAGAGCACCGAGCTAGCTGCTCTCATTACACCAGAGGTCAGTCTCGAGAGACTGATTCCCTTAGTAGATTTTTTGGCAGCGTGGAAACTACTGCCAAATGTGTCTCAGTGGGTCCTGCATACTGTAGAAAGAGGCTACAAAATCCAGTTTGGTTCTCCTCCGGCTCGTTTCAACGGGATTACGCCCACGATGGTGGGCCCCGAGCAGGCTCTGGTCATGGAACAAGAAGTAGTTACTCTTTTGAGGAAGGAGGCAAATCAAGGTGGTCCCTCCTCGCAAAGCAGATCCAGGTTCTACAGCCGATACTTCATAGTTTCAAAGAAGGATAGGGGGTTGCGTCCCATTTTAGATCTGTGTCAGTTGAACCGCTCAGTCATGTGACTGAAGTTCAGGATGCTCACTCGCAAACAGGTCGTGTCTCAGATCAGGTCCGAGGACTGGTTTGTCACGATCGATCTGAAAGACGCATACTTCCATGTATCCATCCTTCCCACTCACAGGAAGTTCCTGAGGTGGCATATACATGGCATATAAATTGTTTGGAAATGCTGGCCGTGCTGTGTGCACTAAGACACTTCCTCCCAGACCTGAAAGGTCACCATGTGTTGGTCTTACATCAACCATCAGGGAGGTCTGCGCTCACGCTGTTTGTACAAACTAGCCTATCAGATCCTTGTGCGGTCCCAGGGCAAACTTCTCTCGCTGAGAGCAGACATCCTGTCGGGGCCAAGGCCCGGGGAATGGATGCTTCACCCCGAGGTGGTGAAGCAGATATGGAGAGTTTTTGGCCAGGCTCAGGTGGACCTGTTTGCGACTCAGATGACATCGCACTGTCCCCTCTGGTTCTCTCTGACTCATCCAGCTCCACTGGGGCTGGATGCCATGGTACAGACGTGGCCGAGGCTTCGTCTGTACGCCTTTCCCCCGATCGCTCTGCTCCTGGGAGTTCTGGAGAGAGTGCGCCGGGATGGGGTCCGTCTTCTGCTAGTAGCCCCGTTCTGGCCGGGCCGAGTATGGTTCTCGGGCCTGATTTCTCTCCTCGACTGCACTCCATGGGAAATTCCCATCAGGAGAGATCTCCTCTCACAGGCGGAGGGTACGATCATCCACCCCCGCCCGGAGCTGTGGAAGTTGTGGGTGTGGCCCCTGAGGGGGCACAACTCATAGCTTCCGGTCTCTCAACCAACTGCCCAGTTGGTACAGTGCTGGTGTTTCTGCAGGCCCGATTCTCCGCAGGGTTGACCCACTCCACCCTGAAGGTCTACGTGGTGGTCATTGCAGCCTACCACGCCCCTCTCAGTGGCCAGTCAGTGGGCAGACACCCCCTAGTTACACGTTTCCTCCATGGTTCGCTGAGGCTGAGGCCTCCGGTATGATCTCGTGTCCCCACGTGAGACCTGGCTGTGGTGCTAGAAGCTCTCTGTAGGCCTCCCTTCGAGCCCATCAAGGAGATCTCTGATCGCCACCTCACTATCAAGACTACCTTTCTTCTGGCGATATCTTCTCTCAAGAGAGTGGGGGATCTGCAGGCCCTCTCAGTGGCCCCTTCCTATATCGACTTTGCGCCCGGTCTGGCCAAAGCGTTTCTGTACCCTCGAGCAGGGTATGTTCCTAAGGTCCCCTCCTCTACACCACAGCCTGTCATTCTCGAGGCCTTCAGTCCTCCTCCCTTCGGTGAACCAGACCAGCAGAGGCTTAACTGTATGTGTCCAGTGTGAGCACTGGACGCATACGTCCACAGAGCTGCCCTGTGGAGAAGGGCGGACCAACTGCTTGTTTGCTATGGTCCCCCTAAAAGAGGTCTTCCAGCTACAACCAGACCCTCAGTCGATGGATAGTAGATGCCATTTCCATTGCTTATGAGTCCTCTGATCTCCCTTCGCCTCTAGGGGTCAAGGCTCACTCTACCCGAAGATTTTGGCGGCCTCCAAGGTCTTCTTGGCAGGTGTCTCGATGCAGGACATCTGCGACGCTGCGGGATGGTCCACGCCTTTAACCTTTGTCAGGTTCTATGGCCTAGATATGTGAGCCACTCCCGGCTCTTCTGTTCTCTCGCCCTAGCTGTGCAGGCTTCCACACTAGGCTGAGATTTGGAATTCTGGCGGCGTGGGCATACTCGTTCCCAAAGCGTCCTCTGACCCAGCTCGAGTTCCTGAAGAGGAACGACTCAGGTTACGCATGTAACCATGGTTCCTCGAGGGATCTAGACGCTGCGTCTCGGGGCCATACTTCCAGTATCTCTGCCAGCGCTTGCGTCACTCCTAGAAGCTGACGCCGGTTTCACCGCACATGCTTTTATAGCTTCCTGGTCATTACGTCACCC